GAGTATTAAGTGAGGGTAAAAAGTTAGATCTGACATCTGTCACAAGCAATTATAGTATGTTGATTTTTACCTCAGGAGGAATGGGGAGCAATTGGAGGCTTTAGGGCAGAAGCTGACATCATCTGACTTTCTAAAGAAACTCTGCCTGCCTGCCTGCCTGATGAGAAAAGGGGTTGGGGGAAGGAACAAGGTGAGAGAAGACCAGTTTGGAGACTCTTACTTCTATGCTTTATCCCCCCCTCACTCCCCATTTTTATATGTCTGGGTTTTTCTTAACTTCTTGTTTTAAGAGGCAAAGAGAATTCCGGACCAATAGAAGCTCAGGTTATTTACCAGCAGCCGCCTCACCAGAACCCATAAAGCCAGGAGCGGGTGCCGTCCCCTCCACCTTAAATGTGTCATCGAATTTTCCACACCTGGGAAAGTAACAGGGGTCAGCACACCTGGAGAGCAAGTGACTAGCCTCACCGGGAGGACCCACTTTTGTGAATGTTATCTTTTACCTGCCAAGCAAGGACCAGAGGGTTGTAATGCCTTTTCCAATACCAACAATCATGCAGTCTTTCAATCTTCATGTCTACTCAAGGGTCTACACATAATGCAAGAAGGAAACAACATTTGAATATCTTGAGACTTGCCCAAATCTTAAGAGTTGTGTGTCCAGTCTAAGCAAACCAGTTGCCCTTGCTATTTTTGTCTTCTACTTACTCCACACTCTCTTTCAGGGTGTTATTTTGACCTCGCAAATCAGTCAATGTGATGCACCACATTATAAAAGAAAGGGTAAGAACCATATGATCCTCTCAGTAGATGCAGAAAAAGCATTTGACAAAGTATAACATCCAATCTTAATAAAAACACTCAACAAAGTAGGGATAGAGGGAACATACCTCAACATCATAAAGGCCATATACAAAAGACCCACAGCTAATGTCATCCTTAACCAGGAGAAACCGAGAGCTTTTCCTCTACAGTCAGGAACTAGATAGGGATGTCCACTCTCACCATTACCATTACTGGAAGTCCTAGCCTTAGCAATCCGACAACAACAAGAAATAAAAGGCATCCTTAGCCATCAGACAACAAAAGGAAGTAAAAGGCACCCAAATAGGCAAGGAAAAAGTCAAACTTTCACTATTTGCAGATGACATGTAGAAAACTCAAAAGAGTCTACTAAAAATTTGCTAGAACTGATACATGAATTCAGTAAAATCACAGGATACAAAATCAACGTACAGAAGTCTGTTGTATTTCTATACACCAATAATGCAGCAGTAGAAAGAGAAAGCAAGGAATTGATTCCATATAATTGTACCAAAACCCATAAGATACCTAGGAATAAACCTAAACAAAGAGGTAAAAGATCTGTACCCTGAAAACTATAAAATGCTAATGAAAGAAATTGAAGATGACACAAAGAAATGGGAAAACATCCCATGCTCATGTACAGGAATAACAAAGATTGTTAAAATGTCTGTACTACCCAAGCAATCTACACATTTAGTGCAATCCCTATCAAAATACCAACAGCATTTTTCATAGAGCTAGAACAAGCAATCCTAAAACGTCTATGGAACCACAAAAGATCCTGAATGGCCAAAGCAATACTGACAAAGAAAAGCAAAGCTGGAAGCATCACCATTCTGGACTTCAAGCTATATTGCAAAGCTGCAGTGATCAAGACAGTATGGTACTGGCACAAAACCACACATATATCAATGGGACAGAATAGAAAACCCAGCAATAAACCCACAACTATGTGATCAACTAATCTTTGACAAAGCAGGAGAGAACATCCAATGGAAAAAGGACGGTCTCTTCAACAAATGGTGCAGGGAAAACTGGACAGCAACATGTGAAAGGATGAAACTGGACCACTTTATTATACCATACACAAAAATAAATTCAAAATGTATTAAAGACCTAAATGTGAGACAGGAAACCATCAAAATCCTAGAGGAGGACAAAGGTAGCAACCTCTTTGACACTGGCCAGAGCAACTTCTTAGTAGATATGTCTCCTGAGGCAAGGGAACTATTGGGATTTCATCAAGATAAAAAGCTTCTGCACAGCAAAGGAAACAGGAGACAAAACTAAAGGCAGAATGGGAGAAGATATTTGAAATGACATATCTGATAAAGGGTTAGTATCCAAAAAATATAAAGAACTTATAAAACTCAACACCCAACACCCCCGCAAAAAAACAATAATAATCCAATTTAAAAATGGTTAGAAGACATGAATAGACATTCTTCCAAAGACCTATGGATGACTAATAGACACATGAAAAGATGCTCAACATCACTCATCATCAGGGAAATGCAAACCAAACTTACAATGATACATCATCTCACACAAGACAGAATGGCCAAAATGAACAACACATGTTGGTGAGGATGTGGAGAAAGGGGAACCCTCTTGCACTCTTGGTGGGAATGCAAACTGGTACAGCCACTCTGGAGAACAGTATGGAGAGTCCTCAAAAAGTTAAAAATAGAACTGTCCTATGATCCACAATTGCACTACTAGATATTTACCCAAAGGATACAAAAACACAGATTTGAAGGGGTACACACATCCCGACGTTTATAGAAGCATTATCAACAATAGTCAAACTGTGGAGAGAGCCCAAAGGTCCAATGACTGATGAATGGATAAAGAAGATATGGTACATACATATAATGGAATATTACTCAGCCATCAAAAAGAATGAAATCTTGCCATTTGCAATGATGTGGATGGAGCTAGACTGTATTAAGCTAAGTAAAATAAGTCGGTCAGAGAAAGACAAATACCATATGATTTCACTCATATGTGTAATTTAAGAAATGAAACAGATGAACATAGGGGGAAAAGAGAGGGAGGCAAACTATGAGACAGACTCTTAACTATAAAGAACAAACTGAGGGTTGTTGAGGGAGGTGGTGGGGGGGATGGGTTAAATGGGTGATGGGTATTAAGGAGGGCACTTGTGTTGAGCACTGGTTGTTATATGTAAGTGATGAATCACTAAATTCTACTCCTGAAACTAGTATTACACTACATGTTAACTAACTGGAATTTAACTAAAAACTTGAAACTTAAAGAAAAAAAAAAGAATTATTTCTCTGGGGCATTGTCATTTATAGGGATTAAAATGTTAATGATGAAACAGGGACCAGTAGTTTTTCTTTAGACTTTTTGAGGAGCAGGTTCTTTTGGTGACTGCTCTGATGTCATTTTTCTGACCTCCTGGAGGCTTAGCACAGAGCAGGAGGTGTAGAATCTTTCTGTGATCGGGAGAACCAGAGCACCAGCCCATGTCCCACCAGGAGAGATCCCCCACCCTTACCAAGGGGGCATGAAAAGAACCCTTGGAAGTTGAAGCATCAAAGGATCTCAGGGCTGGGAGCAGTCTGAAAACTTCTGAAAGCTGGAGTTTTCTAACGCTTTAACTTACCTGTTATCTAACTTACAGCACCATCCTTCCCCAAATCTACCAGGAGAGATTTCCACAGGGATTTTAGGGAAATCCAGAACCTTGCCTCTTCAGTCTTCCCACAGTTGCTGGGCAATGCCTGAAATCTGACCACAGAGTCTTAGTCTTTCCGCTGAAAGCTACACTGTAGGCTCTCTGGCGATGTGGGAAGGACCCCAGGGAACATGTATCCTGGAGGCCAGGCATGCCCTGGGATAGTCATTCACATTTGTAAGGATTAGGTTAGACCAATGGTATGTAAAAAGCCTGCCACCGTGCTGGGCACGCATTAGATGGAGAGATGACACACTGGAGTAGGAGTCAGAATGCTGTGTTCTAACCCTGCTCTGCCACACTGGCCCTGACTGAACATGTCACCTCACTTTTTTAATCTCTGTCATGGGGGTGTTGGCTATATGTTCTCTAGACCAGTGCTTCTAGAACTTTAGAGTGCAAATGGATTACCTGAGGATCTTATTAAAATACAGGTTCTGGAAGTAGATATGGTGGGGTGAAAGTAAGTCTGCATTTCTAACAAGCTGCCAGATGCTGGTGATGCTGCTGGTCTATGGACAACACATAGAGAAGCAAGAACTAGGATACCCTCTATCTTAAACTTTCTCTAAGGCATGCATTAACGTGAAAGAAAAATCTAGCTTTTGATATTGAGGTTGGGACAGAGGTGGAGGGAGAGAGAAGAAGAAGGAGGAGGGGGAGAGGGAGGGAAAGAGAGGGAGATACGGAGAGGGGTGGGAGGTTTGAAGGGAGTTTGCTGGGTAGGAGCACAGGGTTCCCCCGGGAGACTACCGGAAACAAAACTTGCCTGTCTCGAATTTATGCTTTGGGATGAGTATGTTTATGAGTCTACCATGAAGCTCAGAACATTTTCATTTGTGTTGCTTTAAACATTGGAAAAAGAAATATCTCAATATTCCATTTGATTTGATGAATGTGGAAGCTTTCTCTCCTAAGTTTTAAAGATGTCAAAAGATAATTTTGTAAAAGCAGCAACAAAAATAATAAGTGTGTTACCCTGTCAAAGGAGCACCACTTTGTAGCTAGGTCTTATTTCTTGTTTCTTTGTGAACCAATTTGTTAGACTTAAGAAACCCATGCTGATGAATAGTAAAATTTCATGTCACCCAGGGGCAGCCATAAAGATAATGGACTGTTGTTGCCGTGGGGAGGAAAACAGTGGTTTGTTTCATCCAGGAAAGCAAGAATGAAAAAGGCAAACCCAATCAAGAATAAAGAATAAAATTCAGAGTTAAAAATTTGGTTGCAGCAATAGTCTATTTTATAGATACCTGCAATGAATCCTACTTGTGGATATCATGAAGAATTAGAAGTTAAAGCAGTTGTGCTCATATTCAATGTGATGCATATGCTATATATTTCACTTCCATTCATGAACAAATAACATGAAATTTACCAGTATCATTATCTGATCAATGTGCAGCCACATCCAAAATGAATAATTTACACATTATTGTCTTTTCTTTGCATTTCCGATGCCCTCTTTGCCTCCTGCATCCACCAATAAGCATTTATTCAGAAACTGCTACGCAGAGGTGCTATGCTAGGACCTCAGAATAATAATACAGTGTGCTTGATTTTCAATGATTAGAGTTCTCCTTCCGACTGTGATCCAGTGCTTGTCATTGCTCTGTGGGTGTGGCTTCTGTCAGAACGCAAATGTCTCTTCCACATAAAATGAGACATATGAGGAACATAAGGCTTGATATTTTTGAGACTGTTAGTTATGCCTCCAAAACCCAGCAAAAACTCCCCAGACTAACTCAACCTTTGTACATTTTACAGGTGTAGGTACTCAAGAACTTTGTAGGATGTTGGTATCATGAAAGGGGTTCTCTGCTGCCATAATTTGCGATACGTCACAGGCTAGAATGGAACCAGCACATTCTAGTTAACGGGCTTAAAACAGAGCAGGTTGACCGTACTTTTTGGAATGGAAACAAATATCGTATGTGATGAACGTGGACCTCAGCGAACCCCCTCACTTTCACATGTAAGATGAATTGAGTTTAGGCTTCAGCTAGCTAAGATATTTTGCATTATTTGGAGCAAGCTGGGGGGATTTAATAGTATCTACTAAAGATTCTTTTTTGTTTTGTTTTGTTTTCATTTAAAGAAGAAGCCACGGCGACTTTTCCATCGATAGTAAGTGAATGACAAGGATAGCCGCTGATGGCTGTGGTGTAACTGAACTCCATAATGATTTCCGGGAAAGCCACAGGCATCCTGGTATGCTGTCTCAGGGTGAAAACTGCACTAGTAACTCTGCTGGAAATCACAGTAATTGTGTTGTAAATCCTGTTAACACCCCTGCATTATATCTTGGTAACCACTGTTAATTTGTGACTCCTCTGCACTTGGGTGTGCCCCCAGGTTTCCAAACTTCAGAACTTTTTGCTGGATCAGCAATAAACAACTTAAACTTAACAAGAAGGGAGAGAGGATCTGGATTGTAATGTCGCTTTTGAAAAATGAAATCTTAAGTCATAAATCAACTTGCTCAGATTCCTGACGTTGCAATCATTCTGTGCTTCTTACTCATAATAGTAACATTAAAATTCAGTATTGGCTTTGGCAGAAATAAAACAAAGAGGTAATACCCAGATGCCAAGGCCTTCTGGTGACTTGTTAAATGCCTTAATGGTTCTATGTTGCACCGGACATTATTTTAAACATAAGAGGAGATATCTACCATAGTTTTGAATGTTTACTATTCATCACTCTCAGATTAGCTGACTTATTTATAGAACCCTTGTGACTAAATGAGAGATTCTGGAAATTTGGGGTTAACGACCACGTGTGGACAAGTGAAAGGGAAGGGGTAAAAGGAATGAGAGGCTAAACAGGTTCCATCTCTTTCCTTACCTGTCAATCTATAATAAGCTTGAAGACTGGCTAAAACCTGTTTCATGGATACCTGTGGACAGACTTTAACCCCAGTTGGGAAAAATGTTGACCTTTTTGTTCGACGCTTGGCCAAATCGAATATTCGTTTCATGGTTGACACTTTGTACATTTTTGCAGTGCTTTCAGATGTTTCGATTCTTGGGGCATTGTCTATGTCTTTAGATTCAGAATGGTGTATTTTAATGGAGAGATCTGTAAAAGAAAGATTGATTTCCTGGTGAATATATACATTGATATATGTGAAATATATGATAAATGAATGGAATAAACTAAAAGTTATAATCCTCTGGTTTGTTCAAGTTCTACTTTGGTGCAACTGCCAAATTTCAGTGACGAGGCATTTTTAGAAATAAAGGAATAGCATAATGAGCTGATCAAGTGTAATTTTTTTTTTAAAAAAACCAACATCTCAAATCATCTTGCCTTTAGGAACTGCCAAATATTGAAACCATTTCCCACACATCTCTAAAAATCACTCCCCACTTAGCACTCAAGCCTCCCGAGAGATGCCTCTTTTGATAGACATTATAATTCAAGTGGGGAATGATAGCACACTGTAGTACCCAGAGGTGCACTCTGGATGAGGAAGTGGAGTGTTTCTAGAAACCCAGGGGGGAAATGCAACAAAACAACCTTCCTGCCTATTAGTGGGCAGCCCTAGGATTTCTGTATGGCAGGGCTCAGAGGGTGGCACAGTGAAAGTGAGCTGGGGCAAGAACCTGTGTTAGAGTTGACTTTACAGAGCAAGTAGGATATGTTATGGAGGGAGGTGAGAGGAAAAATGAAGGGGAGTAGGAAGAGATCAGGTTGGCAGAGGATTTCACTCCTGGAGCCATTTCATCCTGCTGGCACTGCTGTATCTGTTAGGGTTAGGTCTAGACTTCATTTTTAACTCTCTGGACCTTTCATAACAATAACTTACATTCATTGAACACTTCTTTACTTTGAATTTTTTCATGTGTGTTATGTTATTTTCACAAAAACTCTGCTATATTCATGAAACATATTATTTTTCTCGGTTTATCACATGGTAGGGTACTGAGATTTGGAGATGTCAGAGCCTGTTAACAGTGGTCAGATCTCGATTCCTCCTCTCCCACTCCACCTCTTTCCTTTTATCGGTCTTCCATTTAAAGAAAACAACGACTGATGAACAGGTGGGACCACTCACTATGGCCCCTTGAGACCCTAAGCATGTGGCTTACTGAGACTTATATTCCCACTTTACTAAAGAAGGGCCTTAAACGCTAATCTTCTGGCGCAGACAAGGGAATCAAGCAGAAATCCAAGTAGGGTAGCTGTGGAGCAACTCAAATCTTGCCACAAAGCATAAAAGTTCCTCCTTCATTACAGGGGGTGGACCGAGTCCTGTAGGAATACCTATTCTCTGGCCTTTTGAGGAGTCTTAGAGTACTCTGTCAATCTTGGACAGTGATAAATTCTTAGGACTCTCCAGGGAGAAAGGGAGCATATGGATTAATTTGCTCATCCAGCTACCCATCAAACCGATAAATCATAATCTCTGAATGGAATGCAGCATCAGCAACTTTTGAAGGTCCCTAGGTGATTCCAATATGCATGCAGGCTTGGGGAAACCACCGTTTTATGGATCTGTAAGGGCACTTCAGGTGAAGAGTAAAGACAACCCATCTCAAAATGGCTTAAACAAAAAGGAAGTTATCACATGGAAAAGAAAGCTAACAGTAAGGAATGCCTGGTGAAAACAGAACTCTAACTCTGCCTTTCTGCCATCCTCTCATTTCCTTTTTCAGTCCCCTTATGCGGTGACTTTATCTCTAGGCTGGCTTCCACCAAATTAAACTTGCTTGCGCATGTTCATTTTGAAAAATAACCTTTCCCTAAAGTATGGCTGACTTATGCCATGTGTCTGGACCAATACCAGTTGCTAAGGGATACACCAATGCTGCTGGTTTGGGTTGAATGATTACATAGCAGGGGACTAGAATTACCCTGAGTGGTTCATTCTAACTGTGGAGGTGGTCAATTTTCCCTGAGTTAGGCTGGCTGCATGGCAGACTGGAAGGTGCCCACTGAACACTGGCAAGTGCAAGAAGGTGATAGCATCTGAGTGTACAGCCATTAGGGCCCACTGCAGCTAGTAAAATGGGAATTTCAGTTTAGGAATGTTAATTTTTACTAACCTTTCAAACACTCACGGATTTCAGTGTAAGTCGTAGAGGAAGTTTTTGTAATTACATCTCAATTGCCACTAAGAATGGAAGAAAAAATGTGCATCATTAGATAATTCTAGGCCTATCCAGTATGGTAAGCACAGACCATACTTTGGGAAACTGTGCTCCTCATACATCCCGCACTTTTGCATTCTTCTCACAGTGCCTATTGCAATGCTGGTCCTGCTCTCTACTTTGTCACCCCCCACAATACTCTGCCCTTTGGGGTTGGTCCTGTTCTTACTTTTTTTATGTTATGGTCTAGTAGAACTCTCTGAATAACTTGCTTTGGGAATAGTATTTACTCTGCCCTGGCTCTGGCAAGAGTGCCCCTGTCCTGGCATTGTTCCTACTTGGATTCTTCTGGATCCTAACACTTTGCTCTTTTCCAGGCTTGCTCACATAGATCTACCTGATCTGGGCCTTTGGACTTCATTCTACCACGATAGGAATTGAAGGAGGTGAAAAAATTACAGATTTGCTCCATGTCCCAGAATCCCATGAGCTCTGACCTGTTCTCTTTTTCCTACTAGGATCAATCTTCCCTATTCTCCACATGTCAAGTACACATAATTGGTGGTCAACAATGAGGGTGAACTAGGGTGAAGTGAGATTTGGTTTGCTTGGGATATCCTGGTTTATTGCAGCTATCCCTTCATTCTCAAATGTATCCTTGTTTGGAAAATGAATTATACGGTCACTGAATTTTTAATATCTCCCTGCTGAGGGAGATCCATGGCAAATATTCTACAAATGGTTGTCTGCCTCATCTAGGAAGCACCTCATTCCATTTTTGAAATCTCTTATCTAGTAATTCTTTCTTTGAGATGAAAATTATCTTCTAGCATCTTCTACACATTAGTCCTATTTCTGCCCTCTGGAATAGCAAAGACCAAGTTCACAGTTCCTCATATTTCCCCCATGTTAGGCATTTCTCTACTTTAGGTTAACCATCTTCCATCTTTCTCTGGTGTCCTTTTTCACATGAGTATCAGACACCTCACCTTGTGTTCCTCTAAATTACACAGAGACAACCACAGGGGATTGCCTGTGATGATACTAATCACTTGGGCATGTTTCAGAATCTTCTGCCTGCATCTTGACCCCAAGTCATCACTAGAAAAGAAGTAGGCAAAGTCTCTGAGAACAGGGACTAAGGGTTACCGGAGTCCAAAAATATTTATAGAACAAGCCACACTTATGCTTACAAAGTCTGTCTTTCCCAAGTATTTCAAATCAAATCCCCAAATTTAAAGAATTGAAACATGGAATGTTACAGATTTCAGTGAGGTAAAAAGAGCTAATATTTATTGGAGCTAATGAAAGCACTCTTTGGTAGAGCAGTTAGATCACATTGGATACTGTCCTTCATGCTGCCTAAATAGTAATGTTGAAATTGAACTGAACTTCGATTCTCTGGATGCATTTTTTTTTAAAGATTTTTATTTATTTGACAGAGAGAGAGACAGCGAGAAAGGGAACACAAGCAGGGGGAGTGGGAGAGGGAGAAGCAGGCCTCCCCCTGAGCAGGGGGCCCGATGTGGGGCTCGATCCCAGGACCCCCGGATCATGACCTGAGCCAAAGGCAGACGCTTAATGACTGAGCCACCCAGGTGCCCCTCTGGATGTTTTTATGTGTTTGATATTTTTACTTTATATGAGTATTTAGAAAGAGTAGGTAAAAGTTTAATGAGAATGAATTGATAGTGGAATGACCTGTTATAAAAAGGGAGCATATTTAATAGAAGATTAGAAAATCTTTTGGGGCAGAAAATACTTGACAAAACATGCGTATAACCCGTATGATGATGAATTGGCTGCCATCAACAACTATTTCTGGGTGAAGTTCAAAGTTACAAAGAGAAAGAAGGGCAAAGTGATTTCAGAAAAAAACAAACAAAAAAACCCTGTATCTTTTCCAGAGTACAAGAATATTAGAAAAATTTAGTTAATTATAGTATGCGTTTGGAAAAAAAATAAATGCAATTGTACTGTATTATATTATAGATTAATCACCAGGAAAACAATCCTAAGCCAATAGTTTTGGGAAATAGTCATATCATTGAATGGGGAAAAGAGAAAAATGGAAATTAATACATTTGCATATTCAGAACTTCTAAATATAGATAAGAGACAGCTAATATTCATTGCTTACTTTCTAAATTTAAATATGTTCATTATTTGTGAAAGAAAAACGTAGTAGCAACAGAAATCATATGTTGCTCAACTAGTCAAAATGTTTTAATAGCACTAGTGGTGCACAGGGCCCTGGCTCTGTGACTCACCAGCTGTAAAACTTGGAAGTACTTGACCTGACTGTGCTTGAGTTTCCCCCCCTGTAAAATGGTGAATGATAGTGCTTCTCTTACAGGGTTTCTGTGATATTAGTAAATGAGTTATCACTTGGGCAGCACTTAAAACACTGTAAGTGCTCAGTAAAAACTCCTTTATCCAACTGTCCATGCACTTCACTTCCTGGCATCACTCTTCCTTTTTTTTTTTTTCCCCACTCTTCCTTCTTTACGTGCTCTTTCATGACACTTCTTAGTCCTCAGACAAAACTATGCGTGTCCCCGAAGTCTTCCTGTGCTTCCATGCTTTAGTGCTCATCTCATGCTTGTCTGTGCCTTCTTACTAGAGGGCTGTTCTTTTCCTTCTTCCTTCATGGGCCAGTTTCTAAGCTTTCTTTCCTTCTCCACTAAGCTTTCTCAGACCCCATAGTCAGAATTCATTCATTGCTCCCTTGTGTTGCTTTAGTGTGGCTCAGATCTCTACTGATTTACTGATATACCAGTGTTCATTAAGTGTCTACTATGTTTCAGCCCAGGATGTCATATAGTGGTAAATTAGATGAACCAATGTCATGGAATTTGTGTTGTTGTGCTTGCTTGAAGAGTAATTTGTTGTAAATATGTTTTCCCCTTTAGGCTGAAAATACCTTTGTATTTGCAAAACCTAGACTTTTAGACTTCAAAAACCTGAGTATTGTGATCTTGTCCT